GTGTGGGGGGGGGGGTTGGATTGGATTCACACAATTTCTGTCTTATAAAAGGAATTCCTTAATTAAGGTCAAACACTGGACTTGATATTGGCCTGCAGGACAATGGCTATTATGTTTCAGATGTAACCCGGTTTCCAAATGAACAACTCCTGTCTGCGGTAACTGTGTTATTGTCATTGATGGAAGAATTAAAGCTCAAATTATTTCCCCTATTGCTTGAATTTTAAACATTCACATTGGACATTGTATGCTCTGTGCGTGGGCTAGAGATGGGATAATATATTTAACCATCTCTCGATTGTCATCCCTTATACAGGGAGAGTGTATTCATTATTCATTTTTATAGCTGCAAACCAGCCTTTCTGCACAGCTTCTAGGATTACAATACAGTGTGTATTTCATTTCAGTAAAGGGCTGTGTGGAAATTAGGAGGGAGAAAGGGGAGTCAGAAAAGGGGGATGTTATGTACTTTTTCTTTCTGCTGAAGAGAAGGCAATCTAGTTTTTGGGTAAACAGGGAGTGTCTTAATTTTCTCTCAACCCAGATTCATATGTGTCTTTATTTTAATTGTAAAAAAATATTATTATTTCATTAACTTATTTATATTAAGTGTTAAGGCCCAGGTCCAAAAGTCTTTATGCTTAAATTATTATGGTGATTTGAGATGGGCTTATACTGTTATAATATTTAAATATTAGAGGGAGAGTCTTGAAGTAGTCAAGGAAAGGTCCCATATAAAATATTCATAATGTTGTGTAGGGTCTGGCTTTAAAAAAAGAGTAAAACAGATCCAANNCAGTAATTTTCATACAGTCCCTAAAGTACTGTGTTGTATTGTATATATAGTATCAACTGCATTGTCCCTTTGGCCATCCATAAGCATGTTTCCTCTTTGATGTGAGGATAATCCACAGATCAAGGACGTGACTGAAACCCGACATAGACACACAAAGGCACCATTAGGCACCATTAGATGTACTATTTGTGTAAGAATAAGTGAGTGAGTCAAAGGGAGAGAAAGAGAAAAACAGAGAGTGGTCAGATTTTTTGGGCCATGCAGGAGCAAATTAAAAAGATAACCTTGTAGAATTTATTTCATACGTTGTCCTTGTAAAAAAAGAAGTCTGGAATGATACTGAAACAAATTAAAAAGATAACCTCATCTCATTTATGTTACAATTTCTCTTATCACTAAAGCGCTCATACTCGCAGTCATCAGCTTAAATGTGTGTGTGTGTGTGCAGAATGACACTCATTTGTGACCCTCTCTGTCCAGCTCTGTCATTTGCTGTGATGATGACTTTCACAGAGGACACATTATTGGCTAACATCATTAAGTAGCACCAGTTCACTACAGAAATAGCCGCAGCGGATTCACAGACACGCACACGCACACGCACAACGCACACACACACACACACACACACACACACACACACACACACACACTGTCCTTTCAACAGAAAAATGTCAAGTGTTGTGTGGCGTTATCAACATGACACACTGCCTGTGTTCATTTTCACCTGCAGAGGGCACACACTGTTCCACTGAGAAACATCTGCAAGAGGATTTATGTGTATTGATGAGATTAAATAAAAGGCCACATTGAGATGATAACCTTAGTATTGTTGGGCCTGATTCAATGGGGAGGGTCTATTTGCTGGATTCAGATGATGTCAGTTCAATTGCTACAAAGCTGAATCTGTGGAAGGACTTAAATCCTTGCAGGCCCCTAAAGGCATTCATTTCAAATATGGCCCAGAAATAAAATCAGACTTTGACAGTGGTAAAATAAATTGTTCTGATACGTATTTAAATAAGACTATTTGAATTTCTCCCTTAAAGCAATAGTTAGGAACAGATGAGACTGAGTGACAGCTGTCGGGATGGGAGGGTGAACACACTTGTCATGCTGTATCAGTAAATTGTTGTCTGACAGTGGTGAGAAAACATTGCTCTACTCCCATAATCAGAGGTTGAGGCCGTGTTCTGAGACACCAACACTGCCAGTCAGATATACCTCAAACATGAAGTGCTTGGCCTGTGGTGGTGTATATGGTTGCTTTGATATAATTTGAACAAGAATAATGTCAAAATACTTATTAGTCTAAATCTATGTTTTTCTTATAGATCATGAAGAATTGAACTTGGAACTATAATTGACAATATATAAGAAAGTTACATTTCCGTGGTGTAACAAGTGACAGAGACAGAGGGAGCAATGTATCTGCAGTGTGTTGCTTTTAGAGAGTTGAGGTTCCTGATGCATGGTGTGCAGACATTCTCTAGGTAGCTCTGCTGAGTAAGGGTTTTTTGTATTTGAAGAAAGGATTACAGTACAAGGCCACTCCATTGCAAAATCCACCTGCTCTGATTCAAGAAAAAAGAAATCTTCTTTGTGTTGCAAAAGTTTGCTTGAATTTCAACGTGTCCATACATATTACATTACAGTACATGGAAAACTCCACTAAGTAACTCAAGTAAACTAAACTAGAAAATTGGGATTTGATTAAAAAATAGTTCCACATTTGTGTTAAGAAGGTAGTAGGATTACAAGTTGATGTCAATCTGTATATGAAAATGAAATGGAGAACGAGTCAAACTAATTAGCAAGTGAGCAGAGAAGTTAAAATAGTAGCTAAAAGCAATGAATAAATGGTTAAGAGTTAAGGTAATGGCAGTTGAAATACCTAGCTAAAATAAATGTATTTAGCTAATCGATAAGGTAAACAGTTTAAATAATTATAAAATAGGTCATTCAGTTTAAATATTTAGCTAAATGTAATGAAAAAATAGTTGGCCAGATGTCATGGATTAGAGTTGTAACTGTTAGTTTAATGTAAGGAATTTAAATAGTATTATTATGGACATAGGGTTGAAGTAACCATGTCCACTTCGATGTAATTAATATGATTAAATTACACACTGTTTGAAATCCTTGTAAATGGACATGTTAAGTTGACTTGAATTCCTAAATAAAAGGTTGGACAGTGTATTACACAGTGTCTCTGATTACTCTGATATATAGCTAGAAACATCAAGATGAATCTAGTACAGTGCACCATCTTTCAGTGTTTTGGGGACTTGATGAAAAAGGGCACTAGTGCAAAGTGCAGTCAGAATGACAGGCTCGGGATGGCATTTAGAAATGTCTTCTTTATTGAGAACGTAAAGCACAGAAACACCCATTTCAGCAAGCTTACCATAAATCAAATCAGTTTCCCTTTTATTACAAAACATTTACATCTAACAGTGCCTCACTCTAGAAATACATAACGTAATTATAAAAGAAACACCCACAGTACATTGATGATAGACATGATCAAACTACCAGAACGACCCTAGTTGGTATGAATGCTGCTTTCTGAATATGGAACCTTCCCTCAGGTACGAATCATACCTCTCCAGTGTCATCATACCTGATCCCTTACGCTCAGGCCAGCAGTTTATGTTAGAAAGCCTAAGTTACATTCATGGTTATCATTACTCTGCGTGACTTTCTCCGCTATCATACACATTATGACGTGTAGACTGCACGATACGGCACCACAACAGCAAGATCTGCATTTAACAATTGACTAATGCACAGATTAAAGTCACCTAGATGATTGAAGAGAGTAGCAGGGTAGTGAAGCACTGGTGCAGGTACATCATGTTTACAATACTGTCATGAGAACTCCTCTGGTTAATGATGACATGTTTGATTCATGCACAAGCTTCTAATACTGCAGGACATTTCCCATGTGCAAGACTCATAATGTCAGAGATGTGTTTTACTGAGCCAAGAAGCAAATAAAATACCTGACTTTGATGACGATTAGCTGGCAATAAAACAATTGTGCAGCCATTATGGGATATAATCAATATCATTGATATTTATTTTTGGAGTAAGAGCCCTTGCAGAATTTAAATACTCTAGAAATACTATAGAATTGACTGTATCATTCGGTTGTGGCATTTTTTTTAGAAATCTGGCTGTTAAGGTTCAAATAACTGACCATACATAAGCTTGTCAGTGCGTCTTGAAGCAGATATTATTCAAACCATAGAGATTATAAGTAGAATGTGATGATAATGATAATGAGCTTAGGTTTGTGTGGTAAGGTTAGTTACAGGAGCGAGGTTACAACTCCATTTCAAGAGAGATTTTGTATATTAGAATCTAGACAGTTATCTCTATATATATTACCATCTATCACTCCTCTCTACAAGCCACTCCCGCTGCCCTCCACGTCGTCCACCATGACGGAGCGTTTGCGCAGCACAGAGTTGCCCTTCCTGCCACTCCTGGCCTGCAGGGGCAGCTTGGTCTGGCAAGGGGCCCGGTACTGAGGCAGGCCAGCCTTGGTGGTGTCCAGCTCCTCTGGGTCGTCCTGCTGGGCCCTGAGGGCGGCGATCACGTCTTTGTCCGAGGGGCTGAGGGTCAGGCAGCCGCAGGGGCGACCGCCGTCCCCCTCTGCTCCCACCTCTCCGGCCTCTCCCACCTCCTCCGGTTCATCCTCCACCGTCATGAAGGCATCCCCCCACAAGCTCTCGCAGAGATCCCTGCCATGCTGGTACATCTACACACACACACACACGCAGAATATTAATAGGAAGTGAAGAGATATCTACCTCCTCTGACAAAATGGTGGCTGTCCATTATTGGTAATTTACCAGTGCTGAAAGAAAGCCACAGTGTAAAAATACTCAAATAAAATCCTTCTTGAGTCCAAGTACACAAGTACTACAAGTATTATGTAGCCTAAAGTATCACAAAAGAAAAGTACTCATTATGCACAATGGTTCCTTTCAGAGTGTTGAATTATGAAGCCTGCAAGGCCTTGAAAGATTATATATATATTTAATCTTTCATGCACAAGATTATAAAAAAATTACAGAGCTCCAAGCTGAGTAGGTCTATTCAGCCACATAACTGAAATCTCCTGAGTTCAAGGCCTTTAATCTATAGTTATCCATTGTATTTTAGAAGTTGATAATATGTTTCGAAATCAAAGTAACTGGAAGCTATAGCTGTGACTTACAGTGGAGTAAAATGTGCAATAGTATAAAGTAGCACAAATTAGAAATATTCTCTTCTTGTTCCTACAGTTGGATGTTTGATCTTCACTGTGCAGAATGATGCATGTGTAGAGTTTGACACTAGAAGGATGTTTTCACATTCATCTGCTGAAAGTGGAAAGTTTCTCTGTGCTCGTTAAGAAATCTTGCTTTTTAAGGGTTGGCGCAGCATGATTTGTACCTGGTCAGTATCAACTCATACAGTGTGATGTAGAACTTGAAGCCACCAGTGCACATACCACTGAGAATGGACTTACAGTAAAGAAGGAGACATCAGCTCAGAATGATCTCCCGCCTCAAATCCTTCCATATCTCCAATGACCTTGAGAAAGTTATCCATTGCCTTATTACATCACGCTTGACATTGTAATTCCCTCTTCTGGCCTCCCCCAATCCTCCACTTAGACGTCTAAGCGGTTCCAAACGCAGCGCGCGTCTTTTAACTGGCAACCCAGAGGGCTTGAGACACAATCACCCCATTCTGGCCCCTTGCAACTGGCTCCCAGTCTCGCACTTTTAGGATTCATTTCAAAGTTTTAATTTGTTTTTAAGGCACTAAAGGTGGGTGGCCCCAATATACATCGCTGACCTTGTACAGCCCTATTGTGTTTCAAGAAGGTCCGAGATCTCAATAAAAGGGCTTTGCATTGTTACCGGTTCACAGCGTCAAACAGGAGGGGGATAGAGCTTTTGCAGTGCTGCCCACCTTGTAAAACCAGCTCCCCCTGGATAGTGTAGATCTGCCCCCTCCATTTCTGCCTTCAAATCCAGGCTAAAAACGCCACTTTTACTCCCCTGCCCTTCCTGTTTCCACTAACCCTGTACTCCGTCATCCTATGTATTTCGGTGTTGTGTGCCCCAATATTGAGGTTTTCTTTTATTCATGTTTTATGATTATACCTATTTGGTCCATATGGGTTTTTTCTTTTATTTGTCTTTTCAGTTATTTACCAATGTGTTTTTCTGTATTATTTGCCTTTTTTAGTCATCCACTGTACAGCACTTTGGTCAGTTTATACTGTGTTTAAATGTGCTTTATAAATTAAATTTACTTACTTACTTACTATCTTGTGTCCAGCAGGAAAACTTTAGAAATTAATAACATTTGCATATTCATAGATTCTGTCATTTCTAATGAGGTAGAAGGAGTACATTTTAAGGATTTTAATGTGAAATTAAACTTTTTGGCAGGAAAAAACATATCTAACACACATTCTTGTTCCGAGCGGACTATTTGTATATGTCTGGAGGGGATTCTTAAGTACAGTACTTGTGTAATTGTACTTTGTTACTTTCTGATAACTGATCACTATTCTAGTTAGGAGAGCTCTTAATAACAGATAATAAATGTAAAATTTGGTAGAGTACACATTTCCATTCTTGTATTGCGTTTTGGAGTAAACTTACACTAATGTCATTTCTATATGTCTTTTTTTTTTGGCAACGTTAAAGTACAGCCTTTCTTTGCTTGTAAACATCCATCGGAATAATTGATTTTGGCCTTTCAGGGCAGCGCCAGCCTTGAAAACAAACACCCTCTGCCAGGTGTAAGAGGGGGCTGCAGGCACCTGGCAGCTGCTCTCGCAAGCGGCTTTTTGTCTGCCTCTCTCGTCTCCACCAGCCTTGAGAGCAAATTATAAGACGGGATGACCTTGAAAAGCTTGCGCTGGTATCTGAAAGACTTCATCTCTGGTAGAACGACGATTCTGTCAAGCCTCACAGAGTAGACGGATCTAAACTAATCGGAAAGGTCACTTTTGTGTTGCTGTCTGACAGGAGATTCATTACAGCGCTCTGTCTTTATAAAGTTATACTTGGAGGAAAAACTCCAATTACTGCTGACATTAGCTTTATGTTTTCTGGAGCATGAAAAATTATACCGCTCTCTAATAAGTATAGGGATTAAAAGGGATACTGCACAACGCTGGCAAAAAGCAAATCACAGTTCAGCATTTAAGCTGTTCAACTGTAAATGGTGTACACGCTTAGAACTAGTTGGGAAAGCTAATTAGTGAAGTTTTAGTGACACACACGCTGTTAAGCTCTCATTCTCTCTCTAGTGACAGCCTCATAACCAGTCATTAAGATGTGCTGCCAAGTCACCGTCTCCCTCTCTCTTTCTCCTACTATAGCTTATTTCATCTCCTACCTAACTTCCACTGTATCTCCCCAGTGCCTTTTTTTTATTTTCTCTTGCTTATTGCCACACTCACTGTTTGTACATATCTCTTTTATTCTTCCTGTTTCTCTGTAGCACACCCCCACCCACCCCAACGTCTGCTTCCTTTCATCCTCCTGTCTGTTGGGGGATTAAGACTGACTCACACAGGGTGCTCAGAGAAGAAAAAAGCTGTAATATATTTACCGCGTTCGAAGGACAAAGAGGATGACTGCTATTTCTCTCTACTACACATACTCTCTGTCTGACACTTGGGTCTTATCGCAGTGACCCCAGAATACACACAGGGTTGCACACGCGAACATTTCTGTCCTTCCCCAGGTAGGTAGACATGGTTTGCTGCTGAAGCTAATTCAGTACAAGCACAAGTGGCTTTAGACGACATGGTGTGATCGAATAAGTGAGATACGGAAATTTCCTGGGGCGCTTTCCTGTCCTTCCCATCCTTATCTTATTCAATTCAGCCCTACTCTGTCCGAAACCCACGACATTACACCTGGTGTGAAAAAGAAACAGAAAGGACTCTAATCTTTAAACCGGCGGGCAGTGAAAGAAGATATATTTTTCTTATAGCAGTCATCTATTGCAGTGATTCTCTCGGCTGGGGTTAAGATGAGAATTAGAAAAAGGTTGATTACATTTTTTATGGAACTGGATGGAAATTATCCGAATTTGAGAACAAATTACTAGAAAAATAATAACTGCACAGTTCAGTTCAGAAAGTCTTCTGAAATACAAAGTCAGGACAATATTCAACATATTTTTATGATCCAAAATGCAAATTTGTGGAGCTGATTATTTCAAAGGTAACCCAAGGAATATAAATGAACTACCTGTGTTTAAGGGGAAATAAATTATTTTAATTAATTTTATGTGCATAATTATTGTTGCTGGGAAGCAAAACATTAGGCTAAGACTGCAAATATAGCACGCACCTCTATAAATGTAGCTATAGTTCTGTTTTTAAAATGATGATAAAATACTGGAGAGCAGTCATGTGCTTTTGGGATCCATGTAACAATCAAAACTAATGTCAGAGAAAAACCTACGTCCTGTCATATCATCAGATCACAGCTGAATACATATACTTTCACATACAAATAAGTTAACTTTACTAACAGTGTAAAGAATGCTGCAGGGAGCTATATAAATTCAACAAATGACACAAAGTAAATTTTTATTAGTGTTATTGCTGTGTCTGTCTGTGGTACGCAGGCAGTAAGATAAAGGGGTCCTCTATTAAAGGTCCAGCCTGTAACATTTAAGAGGATCTATAAATGGAATGTAATATAGGTATGTTTTCATTAGGGTATAATCACCTGAATATAGGAAACGTTGTGTTTTCATTATCTTTAGAATTAGTCATTTTTATCTACCTACGCCACCGGTCACCTTCCATGTAGTCCGCCATTTTGAACCGCAATGTTACCACAGTAACCCAGAACAGACAAACCAAACACTGGCTGTAGATAGGACCTTTTTGCAAGGGCGGGTTTTGTGGCCACTGTTGTTTCTCCTACACACTTCAACCCTCTCATTCTCAGTTCATCATCTGAAACTTCACTGCTAGATGCCACTACACCCTTCACACTGGTCCTTTAAGCCCTTTTCACTGCACTTACAGCGTATGTGGGAAGCTAAACAGAGGCAATTACAAAGGTAGTATTGTGTATGCTGGCTGTAATATATTGCATTACTGTGAAAGGACATATACATACATACATACCCTGTAACTATTTATTATATACCAGGTAATGTATTTCTAGGTCCCCCCCTAAATGCAAATTTGTCACCCCTTTGTGAGTCTCTGTAAGGGAAGAACCCTTGTAACTACAGATAAGTACCTAGTAAAACCACATGATGCAGTTTCCCTTCCTCAGACAATTGCTCTAGATGTGTTTTGTGCCAGCGTCCAGCACAGACATGGACACTCTTTGCAGATGTAACCTCATTCCCACAAACTCGGGAGTAGGAAGAGTGTCTAATGCTGAGATAAATCAGACCTTGGCTGGCAAATAATGTCACCAATGAGTACAAAGAGAGAGTGAGACGCAGAGTGCCAGAGGGATTTTTGCATGCAGTGGATGTGTATAAGTTTGCCTTTAAATGTATTAGCTTGTTTCTATGCAAATTGACGTCTACTGCAGTAAGCATTTACAAATCCTGACTGTATCTGTGTATATTTATTCCACACACACAGACCCGCAGTTTGTTTCTATCTATTGGCTGAACTTTTTTCAGGATTAGGAAAAGATTTCATGAGGATTTTTCAACCCGTAGTGAATCTGTGTATTATATAATTTGAATGTAAAGCTTAAAAATCTTCAGAGATTGTCTGTTCGCGGTTTTGCTTTCCTGTGCGACATGTCTCTCAGCCCTGAGGTGGACTAAAGTGCTGTGAGCTCAGACCACGAGGTTGCCCACTGTGAAATCTCCCATCTCTGCTGGCTGAAGAGAAAACAAAATGAAGCTTTACTGCTGTGACCTCCAAAAATGTTGCGAGAGAGGCAGGCACTTGTTTGCAGTCTCTCTAAGAGGGACAATTTGTTGAATGCATTGAATGCGGTGACTCATTTCTTTGTATTCAGGAGCTGTATAAAACACTCAGCTCTGAGAGCTTCTTAAATTTATTGGAGCCTATTTTGTGCCATTAGTGCCACCCTACATGAAAATGGACTAATCCAAGCACGCAAAGCACCCGTACACACACACATAGAAACACAAAACACTCAGATATTCTCTATTTGCATTTTTTCTGTCTTACTACAAATTGGTCATTTCCAGTAATCATCCAATATCCACCAGAGAGACTTATTGGATGTGGTGTCTGGGGATGTGTGTTCATTTGTTGATTGTTGGTGTCTCTCTCTCTCCCTGTTTGTGTGTGTGTGTGAGAGAGAGAGAGAAAGAGAGAGAGAGACACACACAAAGACAGAGAAAGAGATAAAAAAGGAGAGAAAGAGGGGAAACAGACAAACGTATAAACACACACACACACACACACACATAGATAGATAGATAGATAGATAGATGGTGTCATGGCCCCAGCTGCACACGAGCCCCTCTGTAGCTCTGCCTCTTTTTAAATCACCCAGCTGGCCTCTGCCCACTGAAGCAGGACCGAACCTTTTCATGCTTCAGCCCACAGCGCCGCCCTGTGCTGTTAACCCTTCGCTCACAACACACTCTGTGACACAGTATATGACCTTATACCTGTAGCACACGGCTCAAATGACAAGCTTTGAGGTTTGAGGTCAATGGGATTCAAACCTGTGACACCTCATCTGCTGGGCAGAAAATCTCAGCTAAGGCGTGGCGGTACTCACATAAACCCTTCACTTTATGGTCTTGTTAATCTTAAGCTCTTTATAATTGTGTAACAACACTATCCTGGCTGCAACATGCTCACAATCCTGACAAGTAGCAAGTGTGTCTATTTCAAGGCTGATTCATGGTTTGTGCATCCATGTGGTCGCGGTCCATACATTTTTTTGAGCGTGAATTTGATCCATTTGGTTCAATAACATTCGGAGGAAGTCCAGAAGAACTTAAAAGAGCATGATTAAATAATTTTATCCCCCCTGAATTTAGCGGAGGGCTTAAGTTAGTTAGTCTGGTGTCCATATGCTTTATAGGATTGAGACGGGAGATCTGGGTAATTATATACCTGCAATTTAATTTTTTTTCATGCATCACTGTGCAGCATTTATGAGAGGAGCCTTGCCTCCAACGCTATATCCAGTTCTCCTTAAAGGACCAGTGTCTAAGATTTAGTGGCATCCAGCAGTGAAGTTGCAGATTGCAACTAACTGAATACAGTCTGTAGTTGACGACCTGGGATTAAGAACAGGCTGTGAAGTGTGGAGGGAAAACTACGGAAAAGGCCCTATCTATAGTCAGTGTTTGGTTTTGTTTGTTTTGGGCTTACATCCATGGTGGGCGTCCACATTATGTAAATCATATTTGAGGGTCAAGGCACCCCTTTGGACGTCTGCTACAAGAGTAAACTTCACACACTCTTTTCTCACTTAAGTCTGTGCCCATCCTGAAGTAGGATCAAGGCTTTAGTTGATCTTAGTTTAACACACTAAATGTGACCTCAGTTATGTAAGCAGCCAATCACAGACATGCCAGATGAAAGCCTACCTGCTGATACTGAACACAGGTTCCAGTGCAGTTCTGTCCCCTCGGGTCTCTGGCCCAGTTACGAGCACATGTCATGTCCATCCTGCAGGCATCAAACCTGAAGAAAGGTATGTAAATTATCAAAATAAAATATCTGAAATGATAAAACAACTGTAATTTCTCTCATATGAATATATTTATGTACCAACTGAGGTACCAGTTTTACATTTGCTTTCCTGCTGAGAGTATCAGAAGATTGATACCACTCTTGTGTTTTTACACTATTTGTATGGATTAAAGAAACTAGGTACAACATGTTAACTACTCCTTTAAATATGCACACTGTAAATATAAAGCTGTTTCTCGTTTCTCATGGGAAAAGACTGATATATGTAACCCTGGTCTTACCTGTGTCATACAGTTTATTAGACCCTCTGTGTTAGCAGGGATAGCCCAGTATGCTGCTCTTGTTAAAATGGCTGGTAATATCTCTCTTGACAGCCTTACAGACAGATACTGATTTTGATTTAGGTTTGCCTGGCAATGTGTTTGGCAGCCTCACCAATCACGGCAGAAGCTGTGGCAGAGCGGCACAGCCTGGATGTATGAGCGGCGATGGGGATGAGGCCAGCGTGCAGCATCAGGGGAGCAGCGGTAAAAACACGACACACGCTTCAGGAAGCCTTCACACCTGAGGAGCGAGGGGGGACCAGTTAGTGCTAACGTGATGTATGGTGACACCTGTATTTAAACCTTTAGTGACACTGCGGAGGTTGACTCAGCATAGTTTCCTCTCTCACTCTGTTTTTCTGCCCACCTTTCCCTTATTCACCAGCAAGGTACCGTTTTCCATTTGACAGGGATTAATCTAATCCACAGGCCTATGTCAAATCTCAAAGTTATTTTACAGCTTCATTGAAGTCTTGGAATAAGCAGGTATAGAATGGTTTATCACACTATGGGGAGAAAATCTTACACTGAAGCTACACAAACCAGCAATAACTGAATTTTTTGGCCTCTTGGAGGTAGTGGAAACAAGCTGTGACACAACACTGACATTGACAGTTGTCTATTTACACATCTAGCAGATACAGAGCATCATTAGCATTCATTTGGCATCAGCAACCTAACAATATAACTCTCCTTTTAGCTCTGTTTTTGGTCTGCACCACCTCCAAAGAGTGAACCAAAACAGTAAGCTTAGTGGCAATGAGCTGAAAGAGTCCAGATCAGAAGAAATCTACTGGACGAGACTTACTCAGAGCTCAGAGGCCCACACTTGTCCCAGGGTTCATTCTTATTGATAGTAGTGGCAACGTGGGAGATATCCTGGATGTCTTCTTCTGTGCAGCAGCTATCTGTCAGCAGCAAGGACAGAAAAACATTTCAGCCAGTTTGACATATTCATCATGTATTGTTATTACACCATTGTTTCCAGACAAACACAGGGTCACTCACTGTCAGAGTACAGTGCACACTCCCTCAGGTGTGGCTCTGGGCTGGGCGTGGCCTTGTGCTTGCCGTCTTGAAGACACACCCCCTCCGAGCGGGTTCCACCAATCAGCACAGCCGCCAAATATGCGCAAACCAATAACAGAGGGCGAAAGGTGACACCCATCTCTATAGCCACAAACAGGTCTGGAAAAGAGTTCAACACACACACACTGAATCACAAAAATAACACACCACTAAAGATAATGCACACACAATGCTACATGATATAATGAGTATATAATTCAGTTTTATTTGTATAGCACTAATTCATAATAAAAGTTATCTCAGGACACTTTACTTATACAATTATTTAGAGACCTTATATAAATTACTTAAAGAAATAAGCGTTGTTACATAATCAGAACTCAACTTTTAAATCCAACACACTGGATGTCAAATCTGTAATCAAAGTTATTCTCACGCCATACAGTGAGTCTATACAGTGTGACTGAGACAGGCTGTTGAGCTCTTCCTGTGGTGACCTAGTAGACAGGGTGAGCCTAATTAGGTGGGACTGAGGCACCGTGCTGAGCTGGATGACATGCGTAGCTGTTTAATCTGACAAGCGGCTGGCCGATGTGTAGCCTACA